GGCTAAAAGTAGGTCTTAAGGATTCTGTAATTCTCCAGGGACAGATGGACTAGACTATTATCTCAGTTCATGGGAGAGTGGTACATGATGGTATTTCTGAGACAAATGGCTGAGCACAGTATACACGCCCAGGAGAGTCTTGGAAACGTTCTACTGGAAAGAAGTTCAATTAAAATGCTGGGAGAGGAGTCCATCTGGGTGGAAGGCAATTCGAAGATACCTTGATTATGGAGGAAGAAGAGGTGAAGAAAAGAAATGGTGGCAGAAAGAAGAGGACGCAGGAAACCAGCAGTTATGGCTGAGAACTTGGGCCTAGAAAGGAGAATCTGCTTCGGACACAGGGAAGGGATTGGGAGGAAAAGTAAAGGGAAACTCTGTGGACACCAAGCAGGATGCAGCCTCTGCTTACATTTCTTAAACTCATGACATGAAAATCCTAACTATCTCGAGGCTTTCCTGACTCCTTGGTAGTTTTGGAGCTAGATCCATATTAGTAATTTACCCATCTATTTCTAGATTAGTGGTCTCCAAACCTGTTTGACTATACCTATCTCCAACCTACCCATCTATTTCTAGATTAGTGGTCTCCAAGCCTGTCTGACTACACCTATCTCCAACCTATAAATCCTAAGCATGTGCCACCATATTAGCATATTACACATCGTACAAAATAAAAATTAATAAAAATATAAGTTCTGGGGCTTCCCTGGTGGCGCAGTGGTTGAGAGTCCACCTGCCGATGCAGGGGACGCGGGTTCGAGCCCTGGTCCGGGAAGATCGCACGTGCCGCGGAGCAACTAGGCCTGTGAGCCGCAACTATTGAGCCCACGTGCCGCAACTACTGAAGCCTGTGCACCTAGAGCCCGTGCTCCACAACAAGAGAAGCCACCGCGATGAGAAGCCCGCGCACCATAATGAGGAGTAGCCCCTGCTCGCCGCAACTAGAGAAAGCCTGCGCGCAGCAACAGAGACCCAATGCAGCCATAATTAATTAAATAATTAAAATAGATAAGTTCTGGTATTTTCTTTTCCATCTTAATAATGTCTTGACTGTCTGTTGGGGATTCTCTATGGAGACCACATATCTGGATCATCTTAGAGGTGTTTGTTGGCTTGCTCTGTGAATAGATTATTTTTTGCAGAGCTGGAAAACATGCAGCCTCTATATCCAAAACTGAACCAACTTATCACAGAAGCAGGGGTATGTGCTTGTCTGTTTACCCCAGAAGGTGTCACCCTTGGTTATCATGAAAGCTAGCCATTAACCATAAGATGCGTATATATAATAGAGGGAATAGAAACTCTCTCAATCCCCACCTCTTGTTTTCAATGTGTCGATGTAGTATCTTATTAACTTTAATTCATAGTTTGTTATTCCAGTCTAACCAGTGAGTGATTCCAGACAGCAGTTAATACAATAGCATTCTTTTTATTTTCTGTATAAAGTTACATACGTAAGACCTATACCCAGCTGGCCTTTCAGTAACCAAAGGTGAATCACATCACTCACTCTCTGCAGCTTCAAATACACTTTATCGTCATCTTGAGAAAGGCCAGAAATGTACAACTGGCAACTGGCCTTGGGAGCCCCAGAAAACTGGCCTAAGTAAACCAGAGCAACAGGCAGCTGGTGAGGTGTCAGCCCTTTGCCTCCATGAGCTCAAGCCGTTTCTCCCTCCCATGCACCTCAGTTGTATAAAAACAACCCTTTTCTAATTTCTGCAGGGGATGACAGCTTCCCAGGAGCACTTTTCTCCCAGAACCAGCAGTTGACTTGGCTCCTTGCCCAGGGAGCCCTGTTCCCGGGAGCACAGCCCTCAGGGCCCAGGAGTTTTCCACTGCTGATGATTTCAGCTGTTTGCAGCGGCCCTGGCACATGGCCAGCTTTCCAAGGTTCTGGGTAACTGGCTCTTTGGTGCAGCTGCAATAAGTCAACAAGCAAGGACTGCTTGAATGCGGGTCGGGCTGCAGGCCGGGCTCACTCCCCGTGGCTGACTCACGGTGCTGCGGTGAGTGCACTGGAGTTTGGGGTCTGGCCTGTCCATTGGCGGTCACCCCTCCTTCCTCATGGTCAGCTTAAACCTTGGCTGGACAGGAGTCAGCCAACCTAATTGTGAATGTTCCTAACACGCTGTATCCTTGTGGAAGGCAAATTATCAAGGTGGCGGAGTTCTTAGGATTCTAAAGTCTCCTTCCTCATGTCCAATATGCACACTGACCCATGTCTTTGATGGAAGATCAGTCAAAGTACAAGTAAATCCAATCTTTTTATTCTTATTCTCCCAACTGCTGGCTCGATTACCATCTAAACACTGAGGAATCAAGGATGTAGGAGACAGGCTACAAGTCTGCTAGAGCCATGGCTAGTGAAGGGTCACCACACATGGGCAGAGATCAGGTCTGTGGAGTGCAGTAGCCACGCCCACTGCCTTGCACACAGTTCCCGTTCACCGCAGATGCTGGGAAGGCATCCGCTGACCGAGTGACAGGACCCTCACACATACACTATCTCAGCACTTCTCCAGAGTGAATTGGGGGGAGGGCTTCCCTCTGCCATACCCCCGTATCTTTAGTGCTGCTGAGTTCCATATACATTTTTTTTTTTTAACTTGATGAGCTAATCTTAGAAATGTAGATGTTTGGGAAAGTAAGAAACAGGTAAATGAGAGAAATGAGTTTACATTGGGCAACAGAACGTGAGAAGCATTATATATATGTCGAGCTATGTTATTAACGTATCTGTGCATCTGTGTAAAGCGTCCATGACAGTTTTTAAATAGTCCTTTTAAATTGACACATGCATGCATATATTTTAATTTGTTTTCAATGTACTCCTTGGCTGCATACTTTGAACATACATATCAAATAGACCACCCTCCTTTAAATCCTCTCCTGGAAAAGCCAGATGTCTTTCACGAAACTGAGTCACGGAAAGATGGAGCATCTCTCGGGCCCCGTGGCTCACACAGCCTACTCTCATCCCCTGGAGTGTGGAGTGCTCCCCCGCCCCAATTCAGCAGTGTCACTTAGCCCAAAATACAATGCAGCCTATTTTTGCAATCATATTTTTAGTAAAGATTTTCCCATTCAACAACAGCAAAAATAAAATGAAAGGGCCCCTGTAATGCACAGTCAGAATATAAAATGCCAATTTAATACCAATGCTTCCATTGATAACCTGGTTTCTGTTGGCTACTGTGAATGTGAGGGAAGGGCTTTCTTCTCACCTCCTGTGGAGAAGGCCACGGGAAGCACGGTCACCGAGACGCTGTCAGAGCTCCTCTGCCCAGCAGTGTCCATCACCGTCAGCTGAAAGGTGTATGTCCCTTCCTGTAGGTGGGACAGCTTCAGGGTTCCGGACTGAGGCACCTGATACCCAAACAGGAAACATCATATTTAGTTAAGAACCTGAGGCACAGAGTCCAGCATCATCCTGAACTGGAAATCAATGTCATCCTTGAAGCAGTCCCCTGACCCACTTCTCCACTCCTGGTCCAAGGTTGCAGAATACTAATCACACACAATTCTGGCAGATTGGTCAGAAGACTTGAGCTCCGGTGGGACTGGGGCCTGACACCCCCTTTCTCCTGGAAACTTCCCCTCCCACGCCCATCCACATGGTTGCATTGGAAGGGTCAGTTATGACCTCTCCTATGGCCACAGGGGTGCCAGGCTGAGGGGAGCCTCTGGCTCAGAGTCAGGCAGGCTGTGCGAGGTGGCAGCTATGCGACAGGTGACACCACTGTTTATCGTTTCTTGGGACTTAGACAGGAATGCCTGGAAACATGGGAGCAGATGATGACCACACTGGAGCATGCTGACGTGAAGCCCTGCAGCCTTGAGCAGGGTGGTGTGAGAGAGAAGCTCTGTCTTCTGTCCCAGCTTGTCTGCCAGAACGTAGACCTAAGACTGCCGAAGGCCAGCAGCCTTGGGGTGTGCTGACCTGGGTGTATGAGAGGAGAGGGTAGATAGTAGGACTGAGTCAGAGTAGGGATTTAAGGTGGGTGCGACAGGGGGATGCTGAGTGTGGCCACAGGAGTGAGGCTGAGATGAAGTTAATGGAGATTTTAAGAGACCGGGCAAGCCTTGAGGCTGGAGGCTGTGGGGGCCATCCATGCAAGACATCCTCACCCAGGCCCCGGTCATATCTCTGGGAAGGCTCCTGGGTGTCAACACTCAGCATGCCTGTGTCAAACTAAACCTCTGCGGGCCGTGCCTTCCCTGGGAAGCCTCTTTCCAACGCTGGGTCTGGAAGGACACAGCATCCCTCGTCTAAGGGGCCAGTCCCGCCACCTGGGCTGTGGATGTCTCCCTCTAGCCTTCCTAGGCACCTCTTCTCTGATGCAGGAAACACCGTATCCAGATCCAGACCATGGTAAGCACCTTCAACATCTTGGGTGCACTCAAATTTAGGTCTTTTCAAATTAAATATCCCCTCCCTGGTGCCTTTTTTTTTTGAAAAATCTGCTTATAGGGGAAGGATAGCTCTGTCAGACTTTGCGGCTCGGCTATCCATGGGTGTAATGACGATCAACTGTCTCTGTGGGAAAGCTCTGAGAGCTGCTGGATTTGGACACCAACAGAAAAGGGAGATGCTGACAGCTGCTGACAGAGAATGGATCTTGCCCGAAGGGCCTCCGAAGAGGGCTTTGCGTTCGGCACCAGTCCACATCTGCAGGCCCTGCCTCTATGAGCAGAAACTAAGTACAGTAACTTAATACCAAGGTCTTTGAGGCTTATTTTGATAACTGAGAAAGTCAATAAGGTCCTATTAATCTCCTGTGAAATTTCTTCTACAAAAGGCTCCCCTCCCCTTCTTCTGCAGTAATTTGTTTAAAGCTTTTGCTGTTTCACCTTAAGTCTCCCAGAGCCAGTGAGAAACGGAAGTAAACACTTTGATTTTTGGATTTCATCATTTCAAGATTTTTTTCCCTCTGTGTTTTTATTTCCTGGATGCAGAAAACTTTCAGGTTTTGAAGCCATAAGAGATAAAACATTAATCTGATTTGATTTTTTAATCCCTTTCATAACACAGCTTGGCATGTCTTTTTTTTTTTTAAATTGAGGTATAGTTGATTTACAATTTCAGGTTAAGTTTCAGGTGTACAACACAGTGACTCAAACAATTTTTAAAGGTTATATTCCATTTATAGTTATTATAAAATGTTGGGTATATTCCCTGTGCTGTACCATATATCCTTGTAGCTTACTTATTTCAAACATAGTAATTTGTACTTTTAATTCCCTGGCCCTTTTCAGTTTAGTTATTTGGCTAACAAATGCTATCTTTCCTCAAAATCAGATATTAGAATATATAGAACTGTAAGACGGACGTTTTCCCTTCAAGCACCAGGTCATCTTTTTGGACATCTCCTCACATTTATATGGCACTGGAAAGGATTTAAAGTATTTTACAAACATCTCCCAAGTGTCAGGATAAAAAATACACACACACACACACACACACACACACACACATAAATGTATATGCAACATACCCAATTTGTAACTTGGAGAGAGATATTACCTTTAATAAAACAAAGAGCTTCTAATCTCTGCCCAAGATCTCCTGTTCAGCAGTAACAGAGCCTTTGATGGCTGGCCTCTGGCTAAATCAATGTATAATTCACTGCTATTCTGGCTCAACTGCACCTCCCTAAAATAGTAATTTAGTGGTGAGGAATACACATTTGGGTTTATTTATATACCACACACACACACATACATACATGATTATTATATATACTGAGTTACAAAATGAGTACTACCTGTCTATTCCCCTACCCCCATAATTGCTTCTAAAGTATATAAGGCATTGGGCATATGTCAGTTACAAAGTAGTGACAAGATAACGTGGTACAAAATATTTCAGTAAGAAACTCCATTGAACCAATGAACCCAAACGCATTCTAGCCTTCTGCCTTGTGTCAACTAATCCAACTTGCAAAACCGGATGAGAGCTCTATAGCGGTTTGAAGGCCTTTACGATCCTTGTTATAATCCAACGCCATTTCCCTGCACACATACAGAGAGTGAAGGAGACACACAGGGCAGCTGTCCTGATCAGGAGAGGCCAGAACATAAACTGGCACCACAGCTGTCGAGATACTTCAGGTGAACATGCTTAGGTTCTGTTCTTCAGTTACATGTTCCTTTTTCTATTTACTTTTCATCATGAATATGACCCAAAGTTCTGTAAAAAAGAAGCAAAATGAATTCAACTGTTTGTACTTTCCTAGTTATATATGCTCAAATGAATGGAGTTAGATCATAGTCACAAAAAACTCTGATGTACCCATCTTTCCCAATTGTGCAGGAAGGTGATTTTAAGAGCGTTTCCTCAGGAGTTGGGGATTTCTCTTATCCTCACCAGAGGAGGATCATTCTCAAAAGAACAGAACCAAAAAGGCAGTAATTAAGACAGAATTACATTGCTTATCTTGAGGTTTCAGGAATCAAAGGGAGAAATATTTTTGGACTGGGGCTTTTCTCCTACTTTTCAAATTCTCTCAAAATGTGTGATGTAAATAGCGCTCCACTTATAAAACCAGCCATGGTTAGAAGCCTCTAGAAGTACAGAGAGGAAAAGGGAACCTATTCTTCCTGTTACAACCCAACCATGTTTTACTTCTGTGTTATTCTTTTTTTTTCTTATTATGCATTTCTTTTTTAAATAAATTTATTTTTTTATTATTTTTGGCTGAGTTGAGTCTTCGTTGCTGCGTACGGGCTTTCTCTAGTTGCAGCGAGCGGGGGCTATTCTTTGTTGCGGTGCATGGGCTTCTCATTGTGGTGGCTTCTCTTGTTGCGGAGCATGGGGTCTAGGCACGCGGGCTTCAGTAGTTGTGGCTCACGGTCTTCAGTAGTTGTGGCACACGGGCTTCGTTGCTCCGCGGCATGTGGGATCTTCCCGGACCAGGGCTTGAACCCGTGTCCCCTGCACTGGCAGGTGGATTCTTAACCACTGCACCACCAGGGAAGCCCTATTCCTCTTCTTACCTCCAGCAGTCTTCGAACCTAAGTTCTAAGACTAGAAACTTAATGAATATTTGATGAATGAATGAACAAAAGAGTGAACAGAATGGCAAATGACATAAAAGAAGATGACAGAGAGCTAGAACAAGAGCAGAGAAAGAGAGTAACACTAAAGCTCCCATCCTTCCCACCAAGAGCAGGACATTCCCTGAGGGCGTGAGCCAATTTTCTTGTACCTGTGGCCATATGCAGTTTCTACAGACAGAAGATCAGCACTGCTGCCCTCTTGCTTCTTCTCCGACTGCCCTTCCCTTCTTTCCAAACCAAGGAAGTTTGTAAAAGTATGTTATTGCACAGACCACTGGGCAAATGGGCAACTGACCTCCAGGGAAAGCCAAACCTGGTTCTCATTTTAAAAGGATACTGATTTTCATGGTCCTAGGTTACTGTAATCAGAGGATATACATTGAACTTGAAAGCCCTCACACATGTTCAAAATTTTTGCACTACAGAATGTGGATCTTTTCAATCCGAAATTTTCACGTCGATATGAGTCCTACTGTCAAAATATTAAGAGTACAGAGACAGGTACCACAGGGCTCGCACCTGCAAAGTCTTCTCTGATGTCCCTCAGCTAGATTATAATCTCTCCCTCCCCCTGAAGTCCAGGGGCACTTCATCTACATTCTCTTTTGGCCTTGCCACCTTCTATTTGGTATTATCGTTATTTAGGGGCACATCTAATCTCCTCAATGGGAGGCAGCTCCCTGAGGGCAAATACCCTACAAATTCTTCATAGGGCCTTACTCCCTTGCTCCTTGCCAGTAGAAGGCTCTCATAATTTTTGTTTGTTTGTTTATATACAAGTGAGTAAATTCATTCTTACTGTAGTTCAGTTAAACTATTGGTCAAAGAGACCCCACAAATAGTTTACATCCCAAGATGTTTAGAATTAGCTATAATAGTTACCTCTCCACGAGTGCTCATTCTGTGCTGTGCAATGTGCTAAGCAGTTTATTTGCATTTTCCCATTTTAACCCCCAGTGGAACACTCTCAGGTAGTATTATTTTCTTCACAATTGAGGAAGCTGAGGCTTAAAGAATGAAGTAATTTTCCCAAGTTCACCCCACAAGGGAATTAGCAAAACTGAGTCTGAACCCAGGCCATATGATTCCAAATTCCATGCTTGTAGCCACTGTAGAATTCTACCTCCAAGTTAGCAGAGCTCTAGGCCTTTCAGGTCCTTATTCCAAGAATCATTTCCTAGAAAGCACTGAGTCACAGCTTATACACAAACCAGCTAGCTGTTGTGGTCTGAAAAAGCAAGATACTTCCTCATACACGCAAAGTCCTTTAAAACCTCTAAAAGTGCTTCTCCCGCCCACATCCCCACCCTACAACCCACCGCCAAATAGAAGTGCCAGGACCTTTGAAGGGACAGTAACAGGAAGTCAGGTTTAAACCCAAGGGGACCTGAAAGCCCAGACTGACTGCAGATTCCTGTGACGCTGGAAGCCTATTGTGCTATAAATTTATTGTCTGGGAAGCTGAGTGTTTCTGAACAGGAAAAAGACTTCAAAGCTTCTGTTGCTATTGGAATAGAGCTTTCACAAATTCTCAATTTACCCAGATTTATTTTTCATGAGGTACGTGCTTTTTTTCCCAGGGAGATTATTTTTCATTATTTCCTTATAAGTAGTTTTCTTAAAGAAAAAAATGCAGTTAAACATTCAAGGCCCTGAGCTATTGTGTGAAAGGAATTCATGCTTAAAGGGCAGTCTACATCAAGGCTCACGGTTAATTCTGAAACACAACTGGTATGAATTATTCATCTATTATGCTCTCAAGTGTCTTCCTGCTTAATTGGTGCAGTAAGTCCTAGGATTTGCTGTGTTTTTTTCCCTGACAAATAACACCCTTCATTCTTTTTTCTTTACACTTTTTTTAAAAAATTATTTTTATTTATTTATTTGGCTGCGTTGGGTCTTCGTTGTGGTGCGCGGGCTTCTCATTGTGGTGGCTTCTCTTGTTGAGGAGCACGTGCTCTAGGCGCGCGGGCTTCAGTAGTTGTGGCACGTGGGCTCAGTAGTTGTGGCTCGCAGGCTCTAGAGCGCAGGCTCAGTAGTTGTGGTGCACGGGCTTACCTGCTCCGCAGCATGTGGGATCTTACCAGACCACAGCTTTAACCCATGTCCCCTGCACTGGTAGGCGGATTCTTAACCACTGCACCACCAGGGAAGTCCACACCCTTAATTCTTGAAGCAAGACACAAAGAAATACTTAAGGCCACAACGGAATATTCATTCGTATGCAACAACTTTTTTTTTTCCCCCAAAATAAATTTATTTATTTTTGGCTGCACTGGGTCTTCGTTGCGGCGTGCGGGCTTATCATTGCGGTGGCTTCTCTTGTTTCGGAGCATGGCCTCTAGGCGTGCTGGCTTCAGTAGTTGTGGCGCACGGGCTTAGTTGCTCCGTGGCATGTGGGATCTTCCCGGACCAGGGCTCGAACCCACATCCCCCGCATTGGCAGGCAGATTCTTAACCACTGCGCCACCAAGGAAGCCCCATATGCACCAACTTATCCCCAGATATTATTCAGGAAATTTGCAGCCTTGATAATCTTCTGTGTCTCAAAAATGTTCTGTGGGCTGCCATAACTTTTTGTCCTTTATTCAAAGCTTCAGGTGAATAAAATAACTGATGGGCAGTGACGCAGGTGAAAGTTTGCAGAGGTTCCGATCCGTTTTGGTGCCCTGGGGTGTGGTGCTGTTTTGCTTCTCCTTCTGCTCTCACCTCCAGCAAACAACTAGACCCTCTGGTTTTTCAGTGTCAAAAAAATACATTTTTTTAAAAAGTCCTTTTTTGACTCAGACCAGACTCTGAAGGGTTTCCTCTGTAGGCACTGGAGGAGTGAGGTTTTGTTCCCTATTAAAGGCCTTCTGGGCACTGGTGAGCACATGGAATAAGTATTTGGAGTTTGGGGTTCCTTGGGAGAATCTTTAAGAGAACATTACCCAGGCACCAACACAGCCCGCCTGGGTGTAAGACAAGGCTACCAGGGACGGCATGGACACCATCAAAGGAAAGATGATCTCAGAATAAATTGAATGATAACGTACTTTTTTTACTGTTTACTATGTGCTGCTCACTGTTCCAGGGGTCTTATTTGCATTACCTCCTTTTATCCCAGTAATAACACCTTGAGAGGAGGGCTTTGGTTATTCCCATCTTGCACAGAGGAAGTGGTGAAGCGAGGATTCAAAAACCAAAGCAGGGCTTCCCTGGTGGCGTAGTGGTTCAGAATCTGCCTGCCAATGCAGGGGACACGGGTTCAAGCCCTGGTCCGGGAAGATCCCACATGCCGCGGAGCAACTAAGCCCATGCACCACAACTACTGAGCCTGCGAGCCACAACTACTGAAGCCCACGTGCCACAACTACTGAAGCCCGCGTGCCTAGAGCCTGTAGTCCACAACAAGAGAAGCCACCACAGTGAGAAGCCCACGCACTGCAATGAAGAGTAGCTTCCACTAGCCACAACCAGGGAAAAGCCTGTGCGCAGCAACGAAGACCCAATGCAGCCAGAAACAATAACTAAATTAAATAAAATAATAAAATAAATAAATTTAAAAAAAACAAAGCAAAGTAGAAGCTGTGCTAGAAGTATTACCTATTTGATCTCTTTCATTCACTGTTAAACTGACTCACTGAGGGAGGAAGGAAATAGTTGAAATGTGATACGAAGCTTTCTCAGTTACTTACTTATCATTTTTCTTTCTTTTTAAAATTTACAGTCTACACCCTCTCTCCTCCACCCCACCCCATGGCCTCGAATATCTAGGATAAATTTTATTGAAGGGATTTACATTTTGTTTTCATGAAGACTAGATACTGTCCAATAGCCAAGAAAAAATAAAAGGTGATATGTGTCTAGGATCTCCCTTGATGAGATGCAAAGTAATTGTTAGACAACACTTAGCAGCTCTTCCTAACATCAATATGAGGCCAGAGTGCAGAAAGATGTTGTCCTGCCCACCTTGCTAGAAAGGATGATAAAAACTTGAGGCTTAAAAGGGCACTTTTTGAAAGGTTAGCAAAATAGTCAATCACTTTTAAAAAAGGAACCAATCAACTTAGCAAGTACTATTAGAAACCTAGTAAGTACAAAGTATAGTTCTAGACTTTAGGAGAGAAAGGGAAAAAATATCAAGAAAGG